TACTGAGGTATTCACCGTGATGATGATCCAGGCACATCTTAGGCTCCGCTAAGCTGCACTGTTGCTATTCTAATGTGATGTGTGCAGCCTTCTCCGCCCTGTCCTCCTCTGCCTTCCCGGCGCCCCCTCCTTTGGTTGCCACTTGGCCCTTCTTTCTCGTTGTGTTTTGCTGGTTCTTCCCTTTCCTCCCTTTCTCTGTTTGTGTCTGTTCTGGGCCTTGTGTGCTTCCTTTGCTCCCTTTGCTGGTTTGCTCTCCCCTGCTCTTGCTCTTGGCCACTGGTGCATCTGTCCATAGACGCGGCAGGTGCATTGGGGTCCTACTCAGGCACAATAAATGGAGAATCGTTCGACTGCGCTTGCTTGTTGTTGTGATGTTCTTTGTTGTTTGTTGTTTGTTCGGTTGGGTTTTCAATTGAAGGGAGGGACATTAACACAGCACTCTTATGACCCACTAAGGTGACTCAGGACAGTCGTATCGCCCTGCCCGTGCAGGCCGTCTTTTTTCGGTTGTTCGTGCTGGCTCAATTGTTTCTTTCTGAGGGGCTGCTCTGCTCACCTGCCTTAATTCGTTTGTTCTCTTTGGGTTCCCCTGGTACGTCCTCTGGCTGGGTACTCTCTTTCGGGTGCTGAATGCAACTGGAGGGGGTGATAGTTAGCCGGCCGATGCCATGGACCAGCCTGTGCTGCAGCGAGCTTCACCGGTGCATTCCGGTGTTCCTCCCTGCAGGACAGCCTGGGGCGCCCGCGAGCAGCACAAGCCTGCCAACATGGTTCGTCAGTCGGAGGTTTGCTACAATGTTACAATGTTTTCTGGTACATTCTGCAACGCACTGCGGGTCCTTCAGGAACGATGACATCCTGCAATGTCCTGAACAGTTCTGCAGTCTGTATCCCTTGCGAACCTGCTTTTTGAACGCTACACTACGACAGCACTGGTACTGTGGCAAATGCAAAGACAGTTTTTGGACGCAAGCTTTTTCTGCATGTTGCTCAGCCTTGCGGATATTACCAAGTACGTCGCTGACTGAGGCCATACAACGGAGGGATGCATCTCCCCTATGAAACTAGGGGCGTGCTCCCCCGTTTCATTGTTGCAGGTGATGGCATGCTTGGAAGCCGCTCCCTGGCTTTCTTTGCTTCCTCATTGTCATCACTGGTCCCCCCTTCAAGGGGGGTTCTGACTTCATTTGCCAATTGGATTTGGGATCGCAGCTGACAGTCAAGAGGATGACTATTACGTCCATGAAGGCCCATGACGAGCTGACCTGAGAGGACTCTGAGAGAGATTTCGTAGTGAATCTGCGTCCATGTACAGCCTGTCTCATGCTAGTGTCAACCTCCTAGCTAGAGTCTTCATGTCTGCCTGGACAGCTGCGATACATAATTCATTTTCTTCTTGCATGTTTTTGATTGTGATGCAGTGGATATGCCACTGCATCCTATTGCAGATCGATTCGGTGGGTGTTTTTGTTTGGGCTCTGGCCCCGTTTTTTGGTTTGGTTTTGGTGTTGTTTTGCTGTTTGCTTCGTTTCCGCTGGCGAAACGCAAGTCTGGCTGGGGGATTTGCGGGTCGTCGCTTTTTGTGTGGTTGTGGTTTTCGTTGTTTTGATTCAATCGATCTGCTGATTTCAAGGACCTTATGTCCTTGTACAGAGTTTTTGCTGCTTACTCTCATGTAAGGACCGAGCCATTAGCGCGACATCGGCCACACTCGAGGAAAAAAAATAAAACCATCTACGTAAGTAGTCCCTCATGCCCTCACCCCCCATTGTGCCCCTCACATCATGTCTAGTAGGAGCACGACACATGTGTCTCTCATCCCCCTACTGTTCCCAAGGGTACCTTGGGTAATGGTGAGGGTTCAGCTCTGCTTTCACTCTACAAGTTTACTCATCTCACCTGGTTCGCACACTCATGATCATCACCCTGGTTCGAGCATCCTGACGGTCATATCCTCTAAACACGCGTAATCCTTGCTGACAATGCTCCTCAGGGTCTCTCGTCTGTAGCATATCTTGCACCGACTAGCCAACTTCCTGTGTCATGCGTTGCTGCCCCTGCCACTTGCCGCCCTCTCCCCTCCATACCTCTAGGCTCTGCTCCTTCCTACTCACCTCTGTGTCCTATGCCTCTACAACAGAGCAACAATGCACTTTCATTACAACCCAGTCACTGGCAACATGTTGCAACACTTCCCATTACGGCGATGGTTGCTTTTCTTATTTTGTGCTTGATCCGAACATGACTCACTGTCTCCGTCAGCAGCCGTTGGCTCAAACTGAGAGGACACCGCACCTGCAAAAGCCAGAGTTGCCTGGGTCCTCCCCGTCCCCATTTTTCAATTTGCCCGCCCTTTCATACATCCAAGCCGACACGGGGTTCCCGTTGTTTGGCCGCTGCCCGCAATAGCGAGTGGTTCCTGTCGTTTGGTCCAACCATACGCCGCGCAATAGCCTCCACTCCCGGATAGTGCTGCCACTGCAGGGTACCTGTTGCTGGTATGCCGAAGTCAACGCCCTTTCCGTCTGGCCCAATCGTTGTTGCCGATCAAGACCTACTGGACATGTCGGCTGGGATGAATTGGGACATGCGAGATGCCAGCAACGTCCGCTTCCTTGCAGTGAGGGGCACAATATGGGTAGGAGATTGCCAAACAACATATAACTTTATGCTGGTGGAATACCAATTGTATATCGACGAGGTACCATGGCTTATCTTTTCTACTCTTGCTGATGTCCTTGAGAAAGAGTTTGAACCCAGCTTCTGGGAGACCGTTAACTACAACCGGAAAGAGCGGTGGGGTTTTCTTGAACCACCCTGGGATGGACAAGCCTACGGTGTTGCGCCACCGTATACCAAAATTCGATTATCCATCTTTAATAACGTCGCTCATACCATGCGTGTCGTGCAACCTTTTGTGTGGAACCATACCCACCTGAAAGTTCACCCGAACGGAGCAGCAGTTTTCCATGAGCAAAAGAAATTGGCTTTCCTGCTGCCTTTGATTGTGGAGGCCCATGAGTTGCTACCGCCTACGCCACTGTTCTGGGTCAATGATGACAACACTATCCCATTGTGGAGGACCACCCTGTGTTTGCATGAAGACACCATACAGTGGTTAGCTGAGACAGGAGAGTCGTACCCACCTGAATTGAGAGATGAAATTCAGCCACGCATTAACCAACTCAAACCTTCTCAGCATGCGAAGCGTTCACAACCTCCGCCTCCACCACAACCAACCAGGTGGACGGAACGAACTGCAGCAAAACAGCCGGTACAAGCACTGCAAGAAGCCACTCCACAGGACCCGAAGGGTACTCAGAACACGCCACAACAGGTGGCTGATCGAGAACGGCAATATATGGAATTGCAGTCTATTATTGCTCAAGCAAACCAACGGACGTTGGCAGACAGCCGACCAGCGGATGTCAAACAAACCCAAAAACCAGCCAATTTGCTGGCCGCGAGTCAACAAAGCACAGACAACGCGGCAACCGCCGTATCAACCAATCCCAGTACAGGCGTGGCGGCAGAAGCTCCAACTCCTCAACAAAGCAATCGGCCGTCTAAGATCAGTGCACAATCACTATTTAGCCAAAGACCAGGCCCACCATCGACCCTACCCACGAGCAAATCAAAGACGGATACCCCGGGTACCGGCGTGTTATCCTCCGACTCTCAATCTGCAACATACAACAAAGATGAAGAGCAGCAGCAACCTCAAAAAGAGCAACCCGCTGCTGACAACGACACACCGACAGAAGAATCGTCGCCTGCTGATACACCAAATGAATCGCCCCAGACGCAAGCCACTGACACTGTTGTTGCTAGCAGCCCTGAGCCCGCCAGTGAATCCAGGCAGGACGTTGACCTTGCCGCAGCGGACATCCCGACCTTACAGAACATGGAGAAGGCAGCCTGTGAAAGAGTGGCTTTTCATGAAACGCGGCTAGCCAGTGCTCGCGAGCATCTGACGCGTATCAAGAAGCGCCTCAAAAGAATGCAAGATGGCCAGTCACCAGGCACTCCGCAAGCCTCGCCTGTCGCAGATATGGAAATGGAAATTATTGACTGATCAAACCTGTAGCCAGCTAGCATTGCGTGCACCTGACTGTGTGAAACCACCTGATCAGTGCCATTTCTATTGCCGCCTACCCCACAGATGCGCCAAGAGAAAAGCAGCTGCGTGCCAGGGTAATACCCCCCAAACCTACCTTATGGGAGAGTACCCGCAATCGCGACCTGTTGCGACTGTGTATTCGGACGTAAGAGTTGGTAGTGCAAGCCGGTTTTTGTTCTTGCACTTACCCGGTCTTTACCACGCGTGTTTACTGTGCGCGCCTTCCTCCTCGGTACGCGTTCTCTCGCGCGGTGGTTCTTGTTGCTGCGGAAGATCTTGCGACAAGTAACTTGGAAGTATCCTGAAACCATTTCGACAACAACAAGTGAACTTTCTCTTTAACTGTTTAAACCACTTGTTTCGTTTTGGTTTCCGGTTTATGGGATACTGGGTTTATAGTTTTTACCGGCAGTGTAAAAACAAACCTTTGGTGAAATCTTTACTTACTGCTTTCCGGAATCGAAAGCGCAGAGAATCTATTTGATTATTCCTCAACTGTTTAGTGGATCAAGATTTTTTGGGTTGGTGCAAATTTTTTAGATGGTGTTTCGGCGGTGCCCAGTCTTTTTAAAGACTCATGGATAACACAGATGTTATCACTAGCATGTGGTCAACACTGGATGGCTACGGACTGACGGAGAAGAAACTGGCAGTTTTCAATAGGAACGATGCTGAGACCATTGCTAATCAACTCTGTCGCAAGCTGGGTATCATATGTGAAGCGTTTCATATTGAGCAGGTCGCAATATGGATAGACGATGCAAGGCGTGCGGAGCCTGTTGCAAAGCGTCTGAGAGGAGATTTGACACTGGACCCTCTAAATGAGAGGATGCTGCAGGATAGGAGGGTTCTCTCAAATCAGGTAGTCGTTGCAACACCAATGGCAGAGCAAGCGATGGTCGAAGGTCTGCAGTCAAGGCCGTCCCGGAGGAGACCACAGACAGAGGAAGAACAACATGCACGAAAACACCGTGAAGCTCAACAGAAGGAGTACTGGTCACGTGAGCTGTACCTGGAATTGAAGAAATTTGAAGCACCAGCTTTGGAGCATCTGGAGCACTGCGTTAGTGATCGTCATCTGCACATGGCATTGGCAGGTCGGACAAGGTATAACACGCTCAAGCGTTACGTCAAGACTTGGATGGCATTCATGCAGTGGCTCAGTGCAGTGAAGGGTACATTGGAGTACCCAGCCTGTACCTGGAGACCTTGTGGAATATTTGTTCACAAGGTATGATGAACCATGTGGGCCAACAATCCCAGTGCTGATAGTTAAGGCGATCACATGGATGGAGCGCATAGCATGCATGGATGTCCGTTTGAGAGTGGGTGAATCACCTGTGGTTGCTTCAGTGCGGGACTACATAGTCGAGACGCTGTCGAAGGATGCACCTCCGACTAAACGGGCCCCAAGATATCCTGCGGTTTTCTTGGAATCCTTTGAGGCCTTGGTAGAGAACGAGGCACTGCTATTGGGCACCAGGTTGATAGCTTGGTTGAAACTGCTGAAGCTTTGGGCATCCTTGCGTTGGGATGACATACAGCGTATTGTTCCAAAGGAATTGAAGTACTATGGGGGACGCATGACAACAATCCTGCGTGTGACAAAGACCACGGGTCCAACGAAGAGGGTGCAGGAGCTGCCAGTCTGCGTCTCAGAACACTGCTTTGTGGTTAGTCCATTCTGGTTGAAGACAGGTTTTGATTTGCTCAAAGAACATGCTGCCTTTGAAAGGGACTATTTGCTTCCGAAGTTGAACAAAGAGTGGTCAGGGTTTCGTAGGACTATGGCTACATACAATGATATCACTTCATATTCAGCTGTAGTGCGCAAGATGGCGAAGAGGCCTGGATCGCAGGAGCCCTTGATTGACCCAGCATTGGCAGGGTTCTGGACAGAACATTCAGAAAGAGCAACACTCCCGACTGGACTTGCTTTGTTGAGGGTTCACAAGGATGAGCGTGATATGCTGGGAAGGTGGAAGCCAGATGGGTCTGACACTTACATACGCATGTACAATGGGATAGTTTCCAGACTGCAACAACAATTTGCCAGGGCCTTACGTGATGGAAACCGCACAGCCATGTTGGATGAGAGGGACATAGTTGAGAGTGCAAACTCTTGGTTGTCAGATAGATGTGATCCCATTTCCTTTGAACAGATGCAGTTTATTCTTTCGTATTTGGAGGACTCACTTCAATGCAAGGTGCAACCTGGCTGGCACCTGACCGAAGAGGGCGTGGATGTGGAAGTGCCTGAAGGACCTTCTTTGAATGAGGAAGTTCCAACAACAAATGAGAGCAAGGCAAACATTGAAAAGGAGACAAGAAAACCCTTGTTTGTGATTGTGAACAATGGCAGGCGTTGCAGGCGTTTGCACAAGAGTCAGGGTGGATGCTGGATGGGGCGTGAAATGACTTTCAAATCTGCCACTGAATACTTCCAGCTTCCTGATGAATCAGCATTCACACATGTCTGCAAGGTTTGTTGGCCAAAATCGACCATGAAGGAGGCATTGGAGGACTCGTCATCCTCCTCTTCCACATCTAGCTCCGGGAGTGCCTCGAGCTCGGATGGACAGGACAGCCCTGAGTAGGTTTTTTGCATTGAGATGTGAATTGATGCTTTGCTTTTGCCATGTCGGTAGGGACACACGTGGTTTCACATTTCAGTTTCATTGGCATCTCACCTGGATATCTTCTGAGTGAAGTAGCTCAGTGGGAGACATGGATCACCAGTAAGATCAGTCTCATAGAGACCGGGATCTCGGGAGCTGGTGCGGCAAAAATGGAGTCTTGCAGAGCAAGCCGGTTGAGAGCTGAGCATGACATGCATGTTTGGTTGGAATGCTGTTTGAATCCTTCACTCTATCTGATTTTCTTTGCGGCTTGATCATTTGAAATTGCATTTTGGGTCCGGGAAGAAAAGACCATGTTTATCACAATTTGAAAGTGAAGAATCGACATAGGCGGCAGGGCTGCCCGGTTTGTGTCCGGCATTTTTCAGTTGTTGTGAAGGCAGGGTAGGTGATGATTGCATGTCCTGGGAGAGAGGCTCAGCGGTGGGCAGAGTTATTCAGGTGAATCAATTGCGTTTACACTCACATGTTTTTACCTCTGACTAAAAACAAACGGAAACAGACACGGCTGCCGTTTATCATTTTGATGTCTTGTACATAGGAAACTTTTTAACAACAGTGTGCAGCTCCTTCTTTTCAACCAGCCACAGCGCAAGCGGTACGATGGCGGGACCGATACCTCGTGAAGAGGCACTGAAGAGAGGAGGAGCAGACCTCAGATTTACGCTGTCACGAAATGATGTTGAGGACGATTTGCAAGCTGCATTTTTCACCAATGGTATCACAACAATTCAGAAGTTTTCCTCCTTCTTCAGATCCGAAGATGACCTGATACAAGTCATGAGGGATTCTTTTGGAACAGATGCAGCAGATGGACTGGAAGCCCGGGCACAGCTGGCTTCAGTGATATATGCATGGCGTGAGACTCAGACGAAACAGAAGCGTCAGGCTGAAGTTGAAGCAGAAATGGATACACGTGAATGGACAAAGCCAATACCCACTGGAGACTACATCAATTTGCGCAATGCTTTCATGAGGGTACATGGTAAGATCGAGGACAGAGTTACACCCTCGAAAGAATACATGGAGAAAAAACTTCAGGAACTTGAGAACGGTGAGTTCCGTGCTGAGCTGCTGTCAGAGGTGGTTTCAAAGGATGAGGTTGACCCCGACGTCATGGTGCCGGTCTTCGACTCGAAAGGGTCCTTGTCAGTGAAAAGGGGCTCAACAACGGTGGCGCTTCCAACTGGCCCTGAACAGCTCAGACGCAGACTTTCTGTGATGTTGCATTGCATTTTGATGTTGGCACTGAAGCACACGAACCGTGAAGAGATACAGGACATGAACAGAGACATCATGGAGCGCTACAAGGACTACATCCTTGGCGATTACGTCTGGGGCTTATCTTCAACTGACCTGCAGGGAAACCAGATCCAGACGCCTCCATGGAGTCTTATCCTCAGTTACGAACATGCTGTGAGGAAACGTGCATACAGTTTGATGGTCAGTGATCATTTGAAATTGGGGGCAGCACTTGAACAAGCTTGGAAGTGCCCAACAACCAAAGAGCGTCACTTCATTACACCACTTGCACTATACAGCAAGCGTTCGAATCCAAGTGCCTCCTGGGGTGATTGGAACCCAAAGGGGAAAGGTAAGTCAGCCAAAGGCCCGGGAAAGGGCAAATCAAAGGGCAAAGGGGCCGCATCGGCGCCTGATGGTTCGAAGATTTGTTTCAGGTTCAACCAGGGGAAGTGCAGTTACCAGAAGTGCAAGTTCTCGCATTTGTGCAACAGGTGCTTCAAGAAGGGGCACAGCGCATTGAACTGCAAGGAGGACAAGGCGCCTTTGGACACCACTGGATCAGTCTGACCACCGGTGCAACAGGCACACAGCGTTAGAGGACATGCAACTTCAAGAAGAATATGCAGGGTCCTTTACGTTTTTTCAGGCAGGCCCAGAAAGAATTCAGTTTCATCTTGGTTGCGCAAACTGTCAAAACAATTTGACGTGACCGTGGAAGTTGAGATGGTGGACATACAGGTCAAACCACACCTTGATATCACCAAAGAGGAGGTTCAGCAGCAATTGTTAAACAAGATAGCTGCTGGGAGATATTTTGCACTGCTCATAAGCCCGCCTTGCAGCACCTTCAGCAGGGCGACCTGGGCGAACCGCAAAGGCCCGAGACCAGTTAGATCTTATGTGAGGCTCAGAGGATTTGTGCGGCTATCTTGGCCGGAACGCAAACGGGCGAACTGGGGCAATATTTTGACAGATTTTTCTTACAAGGCCTTTGAGAAACAGATGGTTCATGTGGATGCTATGGCACTTTTCGAAAACCCGGAAGACTTGGGTGCCATTCAAGCAGGTGAGAATCGGGGCATTCGACCCGGCAGCATGTGGCAATTTGAGAAGTTTTTGGAACTTTTACGTTGGGACAAGGTGGATACGGCAGCTTTTTATCAGGAAGACTTTGGTACAGAGTATTTAAAGCCCACGAGGCTTTTACTGGGGGGCTTCAAACGGCTGCCGAAGCATTTTGCTTTGGGTCCACCTTGCTTCGACGACCAGGGTTTTTATGCAGGACCACTGGAAAGACGCTCTGCAAAGCGTCAACTGGTGGGGAGAAGTGGCAACGGGTTTGCAACAACAGGGTCTGAACAATGGCCTTCCGATATGTGCAAATGGATAGCAACAGAAATTTTGGAACAATTTTGTGCAATATACAAACAAGGGCCTGCAGTCCTCGCTGACGATGGAGCTCAGGGTACAAACTCGGGAGTGCAGGACAAATATGAGATTTTACAACCAGACGGCAGAAAGCTGGTTGGGGGACTTGGAGACCCCCGCAAGTGCCAACCACCTGGCAAGGACAGGCTCTTCCATGACGGGGCTGGCCTCCTTTCTATGGGGAGATGGGACGTGGAGAATAGGATCTGGAGCATGGGAGAGTTTTGGAAGCAACTGAGAGCGGGAACAGTGGCTTTGATAGAAAAGCACCTGGGTGATGCAAGAGCACTTGACAGAGCATGTTTTGAGATGGCAGTGAAGGGCGAGAAGGGCTGCAGCATAGTGCGTGACGAGGCATTGAAAGGTGAGATCAGAAAGTTTTGGATCTCACTACTTGAAGGACATGGTTCAACTCAAACTGGCTTGGACCATGTGGCCGCTGGGCAACCATTTTACCTTCGTCTTATGAAGGAGCTCTTGAAGTTTGGAGAGGACGCAGACTGTAATTTTTTACTGCAAGGTGAGACAGGTTTCCCAGTGGGAGTGCTGAACCCACTGCCACGCACACCACATGCCTATGAAGAGCAAACTTCATGGCGCTTGGAGGACGAACCCTTTATGCAGGAAGAGATATGGCGCTCCAATTATCAGTCTGTTGAGGAGCACGTGCAATTTGTCAGGGACCATTTTGACGAGGAGTGCTCCGAGGGGCTCATGGAAAAGCTCACAATAGCAGAGGCCAAAGAGCGCTATGGTGACAGAATTGCCATCTCTTCATTGGCAGTACTTGTTGAGGAGAATCATAATGGGAAAAAGAGGGTGATCCACGACGCCACCCACGGCACCAAGGTGAATAACAGGATCAGATGCCGGGATAAGACCAGAAGTCCGAGCGCAAGAGAAAAGCAATACCTTCTGGCTTATTTCCGGAAAAACCGGTGCTCAGTTTTCAGCTTGGTGGGCGACATCAGCAAGGCTCACCGACGTTTCTTGCATGCGCCAGAGGAGAGAGGCTTGTTGGCGTGCCGCATACTTGAATCGGACCAGTTTATTTACATCAACAAAGTGGGGACGTTTGGATTGGCTTGTGCGTCTTACTGGTGGGGACGTATTGCAGGCGCTGGTATCCGGCTGACACATGAACTTCTGGGACCCACCATGCCGGTGGAGCTTCTTCTATTTGCCGACGATTTGGAGGCTCTAGGAGCCAGCGCTGGAGGACGGAGGGGGATCACTTTAGCTTTCCTTTACATGTCAGTGCTGGGTTTTCCATTCAAGTGGGCAAAACAGAGAGGAGGTCTTCGAGTAGAATGGATAGGCCTCTACACAGATTACGCAGCCTACAAGTTGGGACTGTCGCCAAAACGTGCGCAGTGGATGCACGACTGGGTTCTGGGTCTGGCCACTTCTGGAGTGACAACGGCAAGAAACTTTGAGCAGGGCCTGGGACGTTTGGGTTTCGCATCACTGGCGCTGACGTGGGAGAGGCCCTTTTTGGGCCCACTTTACAACTGGAGTGCTGCAGTGCGCAACAAAGCGGATTCCTTGAGGATACCGGCCATGTTGAGGACAATACTCAAGTTTTTGGCGAAGCGTTTTGCTACGGGAGGAGATTTACAGAGTCCTCCACCGCTTGAGAGACCCCTGAAAAATGATCTGGTTTTTTACACGGATGCAAAGGCCACAGAATCCGGCGCATGGATCGGGGGATTCAAACAAGGTCCAGATGGAAAAATAACAGCCTGGTTTTCAGAGGAGATTTCATCCAGCTGGGCGCCCTGGCTTCACTTGAAGAGAGATCCCAAAAGGATCATCGCGGCTCTCGAGCTACTGGCAAGTTTGGTGGCAGTAAAGTTATGGATGCCTCCTACAGGTGAGGCCTCGGACGCAACCTGCTGGATACGGGGCAGCACGGACAACCAGTCCAACACCTATGCCTATGCCATATCAAGATGGATGAGCACGAAATTTCCTTTGACGGTTTTCATCATGGAACTTTCGGAGTCCTTGAGGTTGTCAAGGTGCAATTTGACGCTGGATTGGATTCCACGTGAATCGAACCAACTTGCGGATGATCTCACCAACGAAAAGTTTGACCACTTCGAGCAGGAGGACAGGGTCAGGTGGGATCCAACACAACAAAGTTGGCATGTTTTGGATGAGTTTATGTTACATGCAAATTCTTTCCATACTGAAATGACGAGACGGAAAGCTGAGCCGCAAGCTCCACCTGCAAAGAAGAGAAAGAATACTTCCTCACTTGAACTTGAACCATGGTGAAAGGGCCGACCTCGGTTCCCCGGGGCTCATACACTCGGCGTCCCATTCAAGATGGGCAGTGTTGAGCGATGGATCAGGTTGTGGTAGCCAACCATCGGACAAATAAGAATTTGGAAAAAAGGATCAATTGTTTCAAAGCTGCCTGCATTGAGTGAAGCTGTTCGTATATCTGCACTTTTTCATATATTATTTTTATTCATACCGTGGCGATAGCCTCACGATAGGTTTTTGGCGTCGATGCGTTTCCGAGAGTTTTATAATAATTAAAAGGAATAGACAATGCGCAAGACACGCAAGGTTTTAGACTGGGAGGGTTTTGGGTGGATTCCCCCTTACGTAACTAGTACGCAATCGCGACCTGTTGCGACTGTGTATTCGGACGTAAGAGTTGGTAGTGCAAGCCGGTTTTTGTTCTTGCACTTACCCGGTCTTTACCACGCGTGTTTACTGTGCGCGCCTTCCTCCTCGGTACGCGTTCTCTCGCGCGGTGGTTCTTGTTGCTGCGGAAGATCTTGCGACAAGTAACTTGGAAGTATCCTGAAACCATTTCGACAACAACAAGTGAACTTTCTCTTTAACTGTTTAAACCACTTGTTTCGTTTTGGTTTCCGGTTTATGGGATACTGGGTTTATAGTTTTTACCGGCAGTGTAAAAAAAACCTTTGGTGAAATCTTTACTTACTGCTTTCCGGAATCGAAAGCACAGAGAATCTATTTGATTATTCCTCAACTGTTTAGTGGATCAAGATTTTTTGGGTTGGTGCAAATTTTTTAGCCCACCCACCCACACCTGGGGGCTCATACACTCGGCGTCCCATTCAAGATGGGCAGTGTTGAGCGATGGATCAGGTTGTGGTAGCCAACCATCGGACAAATAAGAATTTGGAAAAAAGGATCAATTGTTTCAAAGCTGCCTGCATTGAGTGAAGCTGTTCGTATATCTGCACTTTTTCATATTATTTTTATTCATACCGTGGCGATAGCCTCACGATAGGTTTTTGGCGTCGATGCGTTTCCGAGAGTTTTATAATAATTAAAAGGAATAGACAATGCGCAAGACACGCAAAGTTTTAGACTGGGAGGGTTTTGGGTGGATTCCCCCTTACGTAACTAGTACACTTAGTGTGACCCCCACAAGCTAGAGTAAGGGGATTTATGGGGAGTTTTTCTACTCGCTGTCTTGGTTAGGCGTGTGTCCCAGGTCCTGTCGTCGTCAGCCATCTCAGCTCCAGTCGAACTAACCTCTACTTTGAGCAAAGAAGGTTGCATGAACTGTCATTGTCTAAATTGTTTGCACTGCAGCTTTTGTGGCTCCACTAGTTCTTATAGCTAGGTCAGCCATCAGACATCAATTCGCACACCAAGGTGATAGACAAACCTTGATTGTTTTGGTTCTCTTTTTCAACTTCCAACGAATTGGCCCCGCAACGAGGAACCCCGACCCCGGGTACCGGGTGTTCGGGGTTTCCCTAGCCTTGCCAATCCATTTGACACATTTTGCACTCACTGCCCAGATAGTATCTACTAGTCCCGGCTGGTCACTTGTAACCTGACACCCGGGTACCGGTTGTTCAGGGTCAAGCCTGCGCCAGCATGCTACAACAGCTCATGGCACCAAACAGGTTCATTTCATTGGCGTCGCCTGACCCTGACGACTCAGACACAGACATCGAACCAACAGAACCAACCATCCCAGATAAAACAGGCGAGGATGTGTCAGTGGACAGTGACCAATCGGAATACTTTGACGCCCTCGAGACAGATGATGACACTCCGTATTTCCAACAAGGAGCTGAGCCTCCCCCAAGAGAGCAGTGGGAAATTGCCGCACCTATCGATTTCTTCGATGTCCAAGGGGTCTTGCAAATAAGCCGCCAGCTCGATGAATTTCTCCTCTCGGAAAAAGAAATTGAAACTCCACTCGGCATGGACGATATCAAGCAAAGGTGGAAGTGGGCCGATGTCGGCTCTCGTCGAATGCCCCAGTCACCTTTGACATACCCAGCCATCATGGTGGACCAAGGGAATGGAATCCGACGCCCCGCAGCTAGCCAGGTCCATCATAGGACACTCTTCCAGTGGATAATAGATAACCTCTCATGGGTGCCACAGTATGCCACCGTTTATGTTTCTGTGGACAACCGCAAACTGTCAGGCACTGATCCTCCGGCTTACTGGCCACATTTTGCACCCTGGATCAGAGGCAGATGTACAGTTACTGGCCCCTACCGGGAGAAGACAACTGCTATCCATTTTCCCATAAATGCTGATACAGGTTTGCATCAGGTCCACTATACCTGGGCTGGTGCTGCAGCCCTGGAGGCGCTGTGCCTAATGTTTCCCACTGTAAATTTTGCACTAATAGCCTCTGACTGTGTGCCGACCTCATTATTTGAGATAGCCGAATTAGTCAACCTCATGACGGACAAGGCAAGCAGAGCCGAAGCAATGCAACACAACACTATGGCCAGCTCGAGCCAGTGCCCGCCGGCAGTGCTCCTTGCCACAGAAGCCAAAGCTGAACTCAATGCCGGCTTGATCATTGTGACAGGGCATATCCCGACCGGTACAGCAGATGTCGATATGGACCAGGCAACCCCAGATACAGTCATGCCCCTGACTGCTGCCCAAGGCTCCTCCTCAAGCGATGCACCCGCCCCAAAAGCACGACGAATAGCCCACCCCGCCAACCGCAGATCAGCAGATCCGCACTCCAAGATAGCCGAGCCAGTTTCCTAGCTACTACAGCTGTGCCAGAAGACCCCGCGGAGGCGATGAGAGGCGGGCTACTTCTCACCCCTTTACTAGGATGTAAAGCCAGAACCCCGCTTGACTGGACACATGCATGGGCAATGCTAGGCGAATGGGCTGGAGCCATTGCATTCCCCATCCCGGAGCAAGGAGAATGGCCGCGTCATGGGGATGGTCGCTACTTAAGACCGGACTTTGTCGAGCGGACCCCGCCCTTCCTTACCTGGGCGCGCCCTATATTCGAGCGAGGTGCACTCTCTCCTATGTCTGTCTTCCCAGCCGACTTCCCCATACTCTGTCTCCCAGGAGACAAATTGTTCCAAAGCAAGGAGTTAGACAGAGGGTATAGCCTGCCACCAATAGTGCACGCCTTCCATGGGAGTAAAGTAGGCCTGGGGCACCAACTCCAACAGTGGCAAAGCAAAGGGCTGCAACCGCTTGCTGTGTCGCTCATAGGAGTCGATGAGGCGCCCCCCTTATGGACGCACCCCACAGGCTGCGATTTCGTTAGAGGGAGTAAAATAGTCGCCAAGCCACATGTCCCGCAAAAGCGCAGTCTTACCAAGACGCAGGTGTTGCTGCTTCAGAGCCTTTGGACGCCAGTGGAAGCCCCTAATTGCAACAATGACCACACACCCTGGCCCAAGACTTGCGAGCCTGCCTGTGTCTTCTGCGGTCAGCAAGCGAGCCTCCAGCTCCCTACTGCCCAAATCCCCCCTCTCCTGGAAGCACTGCAACGACGACTGGGAATTGACCCTAGTAACGCAGAATTAGCCATCAACGAAGTTCTTGCTAGCCATGCAGACCCCAAATATACTGACTGGAAAATCATTGTCATGGATAACACCACCTGGCAACTCAATGACGCTGACCCAGGGTCCCTGGACGTTCAGTGCACTGGGTTGGGTGGAGGAGAACTTGATGAAGAATGGGACGTACTGCTAGCTTGCAAAAAGGAAGCGCATGTGTATGGGCCATCCCTTAGCAAACAGGACGATTGGAATGCAAGGGCTGGCACAATTGCAGGCACTGCCCACACACAAGAATACTTGCTGCTACACATAGCCATGTTTCCCATAGGTGCGCACACCTGGTGCCGTGTCTTAGGAGTGCCCAGTGCTGACCAATTGCAGGCACAGATCATCAGTCGAGCCATGAAACTGCTGCGCTTCTGTCCTATTACCCCAGCACATAGGAAACCACCGTGGCCAGGGTACACGCATGGCCTGCGACTTTTTACTAAGTTATTAGTTTCACATCCGTTGGTCGGAGTATGCCTGCCTCCTGAAATCCGCCCAGTAGATTATCTGAGATTAACAGGATACATGGTAGGTTCTCTTTTCATTCGAGGACACAGCGCTGGCTCGTATGCAGGAATGGTATGGGAGACCATCCTCTCGGAATTCCCAGACGTTGAAGGCAAAACCGTACTAGCAGCCATTGCCCTGCCACCATCGCTACTGACGGCACAAAGCCTATCTCAGCTTCGACAGATCCACCTCATTCACCATGCAGATGACCGGCTTTGCGTATGGAACCCGTCGAACCAAGACATTAAACTGCTCAGGCAACGGGGCTTTGCAATCACGCACATCACAGGATGGAGAGCATACCTAGGCACTGCCCAACACAGCTACTCGCACTGGACACGAGTTGCCCTCCCAGAGGGACGACCAGACATGGCGCAGTTAGAAGGTATCCCAGGAGTGCTCCCCTTTGAGGTCTACTCACAGGCTCCCCTCCGCCTGATCTCATGGTGCAGCTTCGAGCTCCCAAAAACAGCCAAAAGACTCCTGCGCGAACTAGCCGAGATGTGCGAGCTACCTGAGACCACGACACAGGCACTTGTCACCCACATTGCTGTTTAGAACTCAGAGGTACGAACGGAGCAAGAGGCAACCCAATATTTAGCCTCGTTGGCAACTGTTACCATCTCGTCAAGGACCAAATTGCTCAACTATACCACCATGGTTCAACATTTCCTTGGCACCCTGCAATTGCCCATGGCTGTCTACATGTTAGACTACTATTTGCCCATGCTCAGCCCAAACGAAGGCTATAATGAAACAGGGTTAACAATGCAAAGTGCAGGACCTATCCGTCAACCATGGCAACCAATTACTTTCGAATTCCTCTTCAAGGGCAGCGAATTTGGTCACTGGAAAGTCAAAGGCGGACAAGATGCATTTGCGTTCCGACATCCAAGCCTTGGCAAAACTGAAGTCTTCAGCCTCCTAGCCAGTGATGCA